ATATAAGAAATTAAAATTTAATCTATAATAGATTATATATTTCTAAATTAAAAGAATATACAAAAAATGATTAGAATTTGCAAAATATAAAAAGAAATTGAAGAATATACTAATTTATTGGATCAAAGAATAAATTTGTTTATAGAAGAGACTAATCTCTAAAAACTATTCATAAAAGAAGGATATATTTTGTAATAAAGAAATTCATTTCATTAAGGATAAAATAGAATTTTCCATAAAAACTCAAAAGGATTCAATATACCCGACTAGTTTGAAAAATATCCCCATTGAAAGACTTTTATAAAGGGCAATGGTTCCCTACCAATGGCGAGCTAAGCAAGCATTCTTCTATAACATGTAATGAAAACACTTTGTAAAAAAAAAATTCTTTTTCTTTTTCCACAATATTTCATTAGATTACACATTGTCATTCTACAAATTTCTCTCAAGTTGATGTATAATTGCCATGTCAAATTTAATGATCAATTTCCTTACTTTTATTTATTATCATATTTATATCCTTAGTTTTTAAATCATAATTTTTATATTTTCCTTTCGTTGGCTAGTAAATTATGTTTTTAATTACGATTTCTCATTCAAAAAAACTGAAAAATGTACTTTAAAACTAATGGCAAATATTTAATTGTAATATTTTATTTTCTTAGCTTATTTGAAAACACGAAGCTAGGTAAATACTTTTTTTAGGATGTGTTTAAGTCACATTATTTTGGAAGAATGTATTCTGGAATAGTAGATTGATGAAAAATGTATGATGGAAAAAGAAGGAAAAAATATTGATGTGATGGAAAATATTATTTTATTGAAAAATGTGTGGTTGAAAATGAGTAGAAGAATGAGAATGAAAAAAAATAATGTGGATTAAACATGAGCTTAGTTTCATTTCAACGAAAAAAATTTCGACAGAAAACGTCATTATAAAGTTGCATTAATCTAAGAATAAGAATACAATGAAAAAAATTGAGAACATGAATTGATAATAATAAGTAAAAATTATGAG